CAAAGTTTCTCTCAAGTCAATACTGTATATATATAACTGGCCCACTTGCTTGCTTACGTACCAATGAGAATAGAATCCCACCAACCGGAGTGCCTTGGACTGCAAGATGGCAGTGACGAGTTGGATTCCTTGTTTGTCACAGGTGGTTCCTGCTCGATGGTATCCCGTGTCCAACTTGACAAAGACGGAAAACGTTGCTGCTGATTGTTGTTCTTGTTCTTGTTCTTGTTTGGCCAGGAACTGTTCGACCATTTGTACCTGTTGGGGATGATCAATGAGTATATGAATGGGAATATGGTGATCTTTATTGGCCTTGTTTTGTTGTCTCGTGGTCCAATCATCCAATCGTTGTTGCAGGACAAACAGAGGTGGCAATTTGGTTTCACTAATGGGGATTCCATAAAGAATACTGCCGGCATTTTCCGTGGAATTGGTCGTGTAGTAATTCACCAACAATTTGACTTCGGGGATGGTAGACGCCACAAATCCATTCACGGCATGAGATGACGATTTGCCCGTCCCGTGGGCTTGCAAATGAATGCCTTCCAATGTCTTGTGTGTCTTGATGTGTGGTCGCAGTTTATAGGCAGTACTAGTAGCGCCACTATTAGTAGTAGAGCTAGAAGTAGAAGTACAAAAATCCAAGACGCGTTGACAATTTCCTGCAAACGCATGACGATTGATCACAAACGCAGGAGTGGGAAGATCTTCCAAACTAAACGGAGCATCATCATCGTTGGCACTGGTGCTCTTCAATGTGCCAGTAGTAGTACTAGTAGTTGTGCCATCACTGCCTTTCTGGGCACTCTTGTGGTTGATCGACAACAGACGCATCAACGACGGTCGAGCGTTCGACTCCAACAACAGTCTCTCGCGATCTCCTTCTTTGTCCATTATGATACGGTAGTGTCTTTGCTTTGCTTGACTTTCTTCTTTGCTGCGATACTATCTGGTTAGTCTAGCTAGTAGCCAATGTCTTATTCTATCGGAAGGTTTTGTGGGCTTGGTTCTCTCGATCTATCTTTCCATTGACCATTCATGAGAGCAGGTCACGTTTGCTGTGCAGTCTTCGGCTCGGATGTGACTTTCGGAATGCTTCGCTCTCAAAACAGCACAAAAAAGATACACTGTACGGTACTGCCAAGGAAAGTTACCCTAGCTAGCTAGTTAGATAGATGTACGTAGCTTATTAACGAGTGCGCGGAATCCAAAACAGACAAACATAATAATACCGCTACTTTAGAATAGACTACATGCACTGCGAAGCTCCAATTTTACAACTGGTAAGTGCTTTTTCTGTGTGTGAGGTCCCGGAGTGGAGTGGAGTCGAGTCGAGTCGAGTCCTAAGAGGGATGCATAGCAAGAGTACAGTAGTCTCTGGAGTTGGTCTGGTCTTGCAAATAGATGTGTTCTACAAAAAGGAGGGCCGGCAAGTTCAACAATCCGTTAGCACAGGTCTAAGAGTCAGCTACCAGGTAGCTATGTCGTAGGGGCTGCAGGGGCAATCCACTAGCTAGAGATGTAGAATCTGGAGTGGTCTTGGTCCTGGAGGCATGTCCAGATGCTGGCCTGGCTACCGGTACCGTAGCTAACAAATATTAATGTTGGGGCCCGAAGTGTGGTCTGGAGACGGTGTTGGGCTCTGCCGCGGTGGACAACAGGCTTCTGAGATGACGCTGGGCAGTCATTGTTCAGACGTGCATGAAATATCTTTTTATCACTCGCAGTAAAAGATATGGCTCTGTGTCCACCCCACCGGTACGATTGATGCCTCTCGCCTCAAATGATATAAAACATCCTCCCCACGATCCATGCCACTCGCTGGAAAAGAGATAGATATTGTTCCACACGATTGATGCCACCCTCCTTATGGATCCTCGTGGACTTGACATCTCGAGCTGTTTTCATTCAAACCATGATGAACGAACCTTGGAGTAAGCACCACCTTTGATCTACGATACGATACCAACTTGGCTGCTGCTAACAAGGTCGCAACGTACGATTGGAGTCGACTGGGATTCAGCTTTTGCGGATCAGATTGATAGACAGAGCGGAAGGGTTCACAAATAAAATCGAGAAAGAAGACAAAGTAAAAACACGCGCATCAAAAAGCACACACAAAGAAACTCTCTGAATAATAACCACCTACTACCACCATGTTGATACCCAAAGTAATCTCCACAACCACCTCGTTGACCATGATGATGCATTTGTTGTTGTTGTTATGGCTAGCACCATCATTATCAATGGCATTTATCCCGACGGGGGATTGCAGCGACACGACCGGTACGAATGGCGGCCGTGTTGGGTATCACAGTCCAAGCCCCACCGACGTGTATCTTCCGGACTGTCAGAATCCTCTGCAACGAGAATTATGGCGTGTCTTTGTACAAGAAGATGGAACTGCCTATATGATACCCCGTCCCGATGGATTGGGTATTACCTACGGCCTTTGCAATAATGATGCCTTTGACCAAGAACTAATGGCCAAGGCACAGCAGTATGGATTGTGCGACGAAACCGTGACGGATCCAACTGTTATCAACAGCATGACTCCAGAAGATGCACTCCGATTCGCCAATGCATTTCATCGACAATTGCGATTTTCCATTTCGGACGACAATCAGATATATCCGTGGGCGCCAGATGAAGATATTCTGCTGGCGTGTGAAAACATTACATCCCAAGCGGCGCTGGGCCATTGCGAGGCTCTGGCCAATCGATGCAATGATGATACCGGAGAATGCATCGAAATTGGAGTCATTCCTTCTGTCGAGGCTGTCCAAGAACTGGTTCCGGCTCTGAATGCACTCTATGGAGTACTGGAAGAAGGGGAAACGTGCATCCCCAGTACCGTGTTTGGTCCTACCTTTGGATGTCCCGTGGCAGACTGTTTTGCCGAACAATCCGCTGGCTGTGAATATGATACCGCTGGTGCACCCTTTTCCGTCAATGAGTTAGGGGATTGTTGTCAACGACAGTGCTATGCGGTGGACAGTAATGGCAATGAATGCACCGGTAACAACAATCCACAAGAAGAAAAAATTGGAGAAGAATGCGACCCGGCATCGTGGGGCACGGATCCCAACTTTTGTCCCGTGGCCAAATGTGTGGCACCTCCAGAAGGCTGCAACTATGTGTTTGACCATTATGTGGTCAATGGGGATGGCAATTGCTGTGCCAGTTTGTGTTATGCTGTGGATGACAATGACAACCAATGCAACATATCATTGGAAGGAGACGAAGAAGAGGATACTAGCAGCAATGGCCGCGTTGGTTCTACCTGCAATGCCACCGAGACTGGCACGGACCCATGTCCCGTGGCTGGTTGCACGGAAGCTCCCGAAGGATGTGACTATGTCACGGACCACTTTGTCTTCAACATGGATGGACACTGTTGTCCCAGTTTGTGCTATGCAGTGGATGCCAATGGCAACGAATGCACTATATCATTGGAAGGAGAAGAAGATACTAGCAATGGCCTCATTGGTTCCACCGTTGGTTTGTCTTTTGCTTTTCATTGCCTGGAATTGAGTTGAGAGATACATGTACCGTACGTAGGATGTGTAGGGCACCGTGCACAATAATGCTGGCTGCAAGGCAAACATGTACTGTAATTCATGGTTTCATGCTACAGATCAAGAACTTGGCTAGCATGGCTGCCATATGGTGGTCCTCAAGCTGGTGGACTCAAATCCAAGAGCATTTCAAAGCAACACAACTGCCGGTGACTATCCAGTGACTAGCAATGGATTCAAGTTGTAGACGTACATGTACATGTAGTTCTTGTTTATATTTATGCCTACTAGTACGGTAGATACCTTGCGATGATGGCTGCAAGCTCCGCAAGAATGCTGCAATGATCTGACCTGCACGCGCAAGAACCATGACGTGGGATAAACTTGCTGCGAGGCTACCGGCGGTGGATGTTCAATTCAATGAAGAGGTTACAGTACAATGGGTGTTTTAGAGTGCTGTAGCTAGCTAGTGCATGCATTCTTAAAAGCTTTCAAAGACAGATGTGGATTCAAGCTCATCAGACGCAGTCTGTACGTAGTTCTTGTTTTAGATATTCTTGTGATGGTGTGAGCCTCACGAGACAGCTGCGTCTAAATCGAATGTCACTGAATTTAAAACAAAATATCACTGCACGTGCAACTCGACATGGGACAAGCTTGCATGCGAGGCCACATCACCGTCTAGATAGAGGCCTACTACTATCCGATGGCCTACGGTAAGCCCATGGAGCAACGGCAAAGCCAATGGCAGTTAAAAGGAAATTAAGGAAAACCATAAACTTGCCCTACCGGTACAGAAATAATAGCTTGGTGGAAATAAATTCGTGGATGCTGGCCACTCCTTTTGGCTTTCTCGAACGGTGCTGAGTGCTTTTGTTCGGTGCTGATGATGTGGCGGGGGAGGTTGACAACCTTGCGTTGATCTTTTTAGTTGAAGAGTTGAAGCATCCAAAGATCAGTGATATTTCATTGGCTCCCAGCTTCGCGAATTTGAGCCTGATTTCCAAAAAGTGCACTAGTGAGGCACAAACAACTCCCTCGGCCTCGAACATGTTCTGGAGCACGCTTTGTTTGATTAATGCCCTAAGCTTGAAAGAATCCAAGCACGCTTTACCGTCGCTTCTTTTCCTCATAGGGCAATACTCCCTTGATGTCCACGGGGGCAATGGATCGAGTACGTCAGCATTCGTTTTCAATTAAGGGCACGAGAAAGTGGCTTCTCAAACCGTGCAGCACTTTTTTAGCTCAAAGCTGGCTTCCAATCAAACCACAAGGATAAAGCCCTGACGATCTCTTTGAGGACAAAAGAATTCGAACCGCTGGTGTCTTCCGCAAGGCACACAGGCAGGAGGAGAGGAAAGCAACCAACCCTCCCCATCCATCCACCCAGCCCCAGCAAGTTTCGACCGGTATTCCCCGTGGTGGCAACATCCATCCTTTTTGATCGATAGATAGCAGCGACCGACAAAAGCAATGAGCACCATGAACAACTCGTTTCAGGTACCACCGAGGGATGCCAACGGCTTTCTGGATCGAAAGCCAGTGTTGGCGTCGTCTTCCTCATCATCCACAGGATACTATCCGAGTAACGCACCACAAGCGCCCGCAACAACCCGTTCCCACGGCCAAAGCTGTGTGTCTGCCTTGAAGATGGCCTATGATATGGCCAGCAAGTCCTCCAGCAGCAGCAGCAGCCATCCAACGGCCAAGCATCCAATCATGCCACTAGTTGGTGGGAGTGTGACTGTGATTGGCAGTGCCAGTAGTAGTATCACGAGTAGTTTTGGTGGTAGTAGCAGCCAACCCGTGTCGGGGGGCTCTAGCTTGGCGGGCGAGTCCCTCATCCGGGGACTCAATAGCGAGCACGAGTCCAACAAGAGGCGACCAAATACGGAAGACGAATGGGAAAAGTCCTTTGTGGGAAGCTCCTCTGAGCTGCCCTTGGAGAGACCAAGATCTCAACAGATGGATGCTCTCATTGATGAGTATGGGAGATCCATGCCATCAGCTTCCTCTCTGCTTCACATTCTCTTGCAGAACCAAGACAGAGACGAGATCTTTGGAGAGGAGGAGGAAGATGAAGATGGTGACCTAGACATGCTTTTCGAATCCACGTCCTCTTTTGGGGATGATCTGCCGACCTACTTGCTGATGGAGGAGGACTAGTAGCAGACCCTTGTGCTGTCACAAGATGCAGGGGTAGCAGTTTTGATAGTAGAGAGCAAAAAGGCATGGTCAGTCTCATGCATGGTGGGAGCATAACTGACTTTTTGCAAACACACACATCACACAAGCCAATAGACGCCCAGCCCAGCCCGGCCCACAAACACCGAGTCGAACCAGACGATCAGGAAGCGGTGCCGGAACCAGGGAGGTTCCACCCGCTGCATCTCCATTCTCTGACCCTTGGATTGGATCTGGGATCATGATACTAGCTAGAAAGACGACGTCTCCACCGCAAGATCTGGAGCTTAGCGGCAGTACAGTAACCATGATAGTCAACTAACTTTGTTTGTTCGGGCAACTACTCTACATCTTTCGTATAGCTATTCTACACCTAGTTTCTGAATTGGATCTATTAGTTTTACATTCATCGTTCTCGAGCACTAGCTAGTGAATCCGTTCCTTCTCTGAACTGAGAAACTCTTCGGCAGGTCACAGGAATCAATCCCCATCCCTGTGGTGATCCCTACCGTCTGCAGTTCAATGGCATGCATGGCTGGCTGAATGGAGTGGAGGCATCAATTGAGATATTATGCTTCCTGAGTGTGATGCCTCATTCCCAGGTACGTAGGCTATAATGATGATCGACAAAATGACAGAAACGTGGGCTCTGGAAGGGAGCTAAGGGCCCCACAGCTAAAGTCATATCCACCGCGCTCTTTGGCAATCATCTTGTCCAACTTGGTAATCCCCAGGTCGACACACTTCTTCAATGCGCCCAGTCTGCGCCAGTTGGATTCGGTCTTTACTGCCAGCTCTTTCGACCAACCCCGAACCGTTGTAAAGTCTTCTTTTGCCATGACAATGTTGTTGCGGAGTGCCACAGCAATTTGCCTCGTCACAAGTAGCTTCTTCCCCTTCTTTTGCAGCTCGACAACCATGTTGTACTCCTGAACCGCAGTAAGAACTTGGCCTGAAAAGAACTTGGCCAGCTGTTTATCCAAATGGGACAAGGAAGCAATGATCTCGTCGGGGACAATCTTGCTAGGGAGCAGTTTGCGAACTTTGGGCTTGTCCACCACCGAAACCAACAGTTTCCGTCTTGCATTGAGTTCTGTCAGGTTCAGAAACTGGATTTCCGTCATGATTTCTTCTTTGGAATCAGCGTTCGTCTTGACAAAGCTCAAGATCTTTTTACTTTGTATCAGTTTCATTGTGTCGGTCACCTCCAATTCTGTTCGCAGCATAAGGGTAAGAAGACGTTGTTCCAGGGACTTGATTTGTTTCTCTTCTTCGGTTCCGACTTCAGGCTTGTACTTGAGTTTCCCCTGTATCAGCAAAGCCAAGAACCAACAGATGCTCTCCAGTGCTTCCCAATCTTGAACATCTGACAGGTATTCTTCCTCGACATCCGCGAGCATACTGCTTATCAGTGAATTGAACTGACCAAATGCGTGCTTGTATGCCGAAGCTGCTCTTTCGCTGCCGGGGCTATTTTGGAGGATGGCATTAACGTTTTTGAGAAGCGCCAGAAACCGGGCTTGCCGTTCCAATGCAGCCAAATCTCGATCTTTGGATTGGAACGACTTTTCGGCTTCCGACAGGACGCTTGCCACAACGGCGTAGAACAGTGTAAAGGCTTGCTCGTATACCGAGGAAGCTCGAGCACTGCCGGGGCTGTTTTGCAGAGCTTCGCTCACATCTCTTAGTAGCGCCAAGAATCTGGCTTGTCGTTCAAAGGCTTCCAAATCGTTTGAGGACGCAAGAAAGTTCTTTTCGGCATTGGACAGTACGTGTTCCACAACCCCATAGAACTTATGAAACGCTTGTTGGTACAGCAAATACGATCGAGCTCCCTCGGGGCTGTTCTCGTACACCTCACTAGCTTCTTTGAGAAGGGTCAGGAACCACGCCTGATGCTCAAAGACTTTCAAGTCTTGAGACGATCGACAAGTCTGATCTTCTCGTGACAGGACATGATCCACAACGCCATAAAACTTGGAATAGGCTTGTTCGCAGACTTCTGCCGCTTTGGCTCCCCCGGGCGAATCTTTTAGCACCGTGCTAACTTCTTTGAGTCTCGCAAGTGCCAAGAGAAATGCTGACCGATTGTTAACCAATCCATCCATGTTGTGCCGCCAATCCACCTGAAAGTCGGGAATGTCTGTTAGGAGCAATTCCGTCAGTGACCCAATCTGATCTTCACAGAAACTGTCGCCATTCCGTTGTGGCATGCAGGGGACATTCATCAATTCGGAACTTGATCCTCCGTCGGAAGGGTCGCTGCAGAGTATCCGCTCTTGGATACTTCTGATTTCCAGGCGCAGCTGTTCACCCCGAATAACGGCTTGGATGTCCGCCTTGAGTTGTTTGAGCAAAATACTGAACTGCGTACTATCCACCGCCGTTCTGATCTCTTCCAGTGTGTGTAAGATGCTCTCTCGCGGTGCAATGACTTGTTGTACGGCCATTTCGAGGCCAGCTTGCGCACTCGATATGGCTTCCGGCACCTCCCTAGTGAATTTGTAGAGGAATCGTAGCTTGTCAATGACATCATCGAACTCTTCTCGCCGCAGTGCTTCGGCGGTTTGTTCTTGCAAGACGGTGGCATGTCGCAACATGCCCGAAACTCCCAACTTGGCATATTCTCCGGCTTCCGGCAAAAGCTCTGCGAGTTGCTTCATTTGTTTCAGTCGGTACAGCGCCGTGCCATAATCATTCCGCATCAGTGTTTGTGTCATATCGCCCAAACATATTTGCAGTTGTACATCCAGTTTTTCCAAAGCTTCTGTACTGGCAAAGTGATGAAATGATTCGGCCGGATTGTCCATGACCGGTTTGTGCAGATGATGCCGATTATTCAGTATTGTCTCGAGCAACTGCGCAGGTTGTTGTTCCAAGGGTGTGACAATCTTGGCCGTCGGTGTGGTATCTTGAATGATGCAATCGACACAGGACCGAACCATTTGTACCTTTCCTGGTTCGGCGTGAGGCTGTTTCCAAACCGCTTGGAACTGTTTGCTAATGGCGGTCTTGTGCTTTTTGGCATCGTACTTGGTAAAGACAAAGTGGAAGGGTCGGAAATCGACCTTGCCTCCTTCGGGACCATTCATGAGATTGGCAATGCTCGAGAGTGTCTCGGAAAAGGCACTGAACCGCCCGCGAACACCCATCCCGTCGCGACTCACGACCAGTACGGGTCGCACGGACCGTGCTTTTTGAATGGCTCGTGCAATCCCCAACCCATGAGCGATATCTTCTTCCGGACCTTCGGCATCGACCAGACTTGGTGTATCGCACAAGACCAACGTTTGTCCGCGATATTCAATCTGTGCCGTTTGCAAGGTCCGTGTGACAGTCTCTCGTCCACTGGACGTTTCGTATGACGCTAATATTGGATCGGCGACACTTTTGGGTTGCATGTGCAGGAATCCGTCCACCTCGATTTCGTCAAAGACGGTTCCCGCCAAATAGTGCAAGGTTGTCGTTTTGCCACACCCCGCAGCACCACACAACAAGATGACCTCGTGTCCTTCCATGGCATCCCCCGCCAAACGGTTCTTTTCGAGTAGCTCAATCAGTCGTTCGAGATCAATGACTTGTACGGTCCGCCACAAGGACACGGCCAATTCCAAGAGCGGACCGACACTGCGGCTGACGACATCGACTCCTGCGTGATCCTGACTGTCTTGAATGGCTTGTGATATGGCGCCAATGATTTGTGTGGCTAGTTGATTCTCCGACTCGTTTGGGAATCGATTGATGTATTTCTTGAGTAGATTGCCGTAGTGTTTGAGCCGCTTGATGTAACTGTGAATGGCCTTTTTGTCCCACGATGGGGTCTTACTGTTGTTGCCTGGGTCACAACTGTTGTTGTGTACGCTCTGGTCCCAGCCACTCCCACAAGCGCTTGTTGTGGCCGTTGTAAGGGTCGCATTGTCGTTGCCTCCTCCCGTCAGTTGTTCTGCTTGGACCGACTTGAGATACTGGATGAACTCCCGCAAACAATGCTCTACCAGTTTTGGACTAGCATTGCTCGCTATGGAAAGAGACGCCATTTCACAAACCAACGAAGGACACAAAAAGAAAAGTTGCAGACTGGGCTTGGCTATCTATCTATGACGATCCAAACAAACTATACTGAACGTAGACTCGAGTAAGCAGCAACGAGACGACGTTTCGCTTTTGTTGTTCCCTGTAGTAGATCCGATTCTATTACTTGCAAGAGATTTCTAGAGACAAGGCTGCGTGCAGTACAATAGTAAAGATAGCCAGCACTGCGGTGGTAAAACCAACACCAACACCCAGGCGTTGACTGATTGGTGGGAGATAGTCTACATAGAAATCTCTGGTCGAATCGAATCACATTTTTTGGCGTGATGCATCGCCATTGTCGCTGATTCCACCCTTCGGCCTGTGCTCCTCGTAATCACCGTCGTGATTTCACGAAAGCTCTCAAAATGTGCGCGCGATGCCCTCTCTTTGATCGCCAAAGAGGTGCTCTGGCGCGTGAGCCGGAGGGTCAGATGCCGTAAAGTAGCTGTAGGGAGTGGAAAATTCGAAAGGGTTAAGTATAATTTCTGCAAAGGGTTAGCGCTAAACAATCGATTTCGTCAACAGCAGTGACGACACGTTACCGGTGCCAGTACGTACCGGTACCGGTACATGTACCGGTACCAGCTGGTAATTAAAATAGTACCGTAGGTACCAGTACTGCAACAGTACATGTACCGGTATTAATTAATAGGCCATCCCGAAGGAGAACCGATTAAAAAAGAAAAAGTGCTTGAAACATCATACGTAGTCCACATTTAAATTAAAAGTACATTGCACCATATCAGTCGCAAGTGTTCTTCGATTCATTGAAGTTTCTCTCCAAAGAAGGCAATATAATTTTAAAATTTGTCCGAGCAACTGCACCCACTGACCCATGGCAACCCACCACCCACCACCACCCACAGACGATTTATTTTCTAAAGAGAGCAACAACAAACTAACTGCCTTTTGTGGTCTTGATGAATAAAACACTTCAACGATGGAATGTTCCAGTGGTTCAATGAGCATGGAGCGGCGAAAGTGATTTGTCCAAACAACCTCGGCAGTAGATGTTGTAGGCCACATTACCGGGACCGGTAACAGGACTAGCTAGATAGAGCGATAGAGCTCTAGATAGTAGAGCTCTATGTAGGATGGCAACCGGCTGGCCACGTAACAACTGTGATAACGGACCGAATTTATTTTTCCACTGAATGATATCATTGGATTTGTCGGCTTTGGTTGTTGTGCGTGGCTCGACTCCACTCGACTCAGTCATTGGTTTGATACAGTACCTAGAGATTTGGTACAGTAGTGGTCATTGGAGCAAAGAGTCAGAGCTGAAAACTCGATTCCCCAAAAGGCAGTAAGCGCCTGTGCTTACTACAAGTACTACGTCTGTACCCGGGTGCCGCCGTGGCTACTGCCGATGCGGTACCGGTACATGTAGCCACACATGTGTAGCGTACTAGCTAGTGCATGTACGGTAGGATACTGAGAAACCCCAATAAATAAAGAATGCTAGATGCATCAGCATAAAGACCGCTTCATCCAAATCGTTATGTCTTAGTATGACCCAGTCGCAAATGTTGGTAGACTCCCGCGAAAGAAGGCAATTGTCCGAAACTGTACGCACACCGCACACCCCATTGCCAGAGCTGTTATTCCTACACTACTACCACCACGAAACACTCAATGAGAGCTTACATCATGCCCCGGTAGCTAGCTAGTAGAGCCTACCGGTAGCTAGCTAGCGCTGAGGCGACAATACTGGGTCATGCAACACTCATGTTAGAGCAGGTGTCCTTCCATGTATGTGCGTTGTCAAATCGCTTGACTTGAATGCAAATGTTTCAGTGGTGGATGGAACCCGTCTCGAAGAAATTGGTGCAGTCTGTGTAGCCTCTGGTACATTTGCTACACAGGTTGAAGTTTTCGAGACGAGTCCCAACTCAGTCTGGACTGTTCTGGAGTGACACTTTTTAAGGCTCACATTTTGTTACTTAAGTGGCGCTTCTCACTGGTTCCAACATTAACACATCTCCGCTGGTTGAGTCTCGCTGTCACTTAGATCTCGCCTGGCTGGTCTCGCGCGTTCCGAGCCGTTGGCTCTCCTTTCCGCTCTCGCCCGGCCAGTCTCGCTCTAAGTAGCCATCTCGCCTCTTAACCAGAGGAGACGTGTTCCTGTATAGAACAGTTCTGCGAGGACTACGGAACGGTTAAGTGGACCAAAATCATACTTATCTTGTAAGTCTCGGTACCCAACGGAGTACATGTACCGAGCATTGTACCATCAGGACTGGGAGGAGGTTAGTCAGTCTCCGAGATTATGGAAGGGGTTGCCCGGCTAGCTTGAGTGGTCTAGTCTGGGTGCTAGCTAGCTAGAGTGCTTTTGTCGGCATAATATTTCAATATTTCTACTATGTTTCCACTGAGTCAAGTCAATGGAAATCTTCGATTTTCCGAAAAGGCCTTCTATTGATTGTTAACCGTCTGAGAGCTCGAGTGGCATTTTTTGTATTTCGCGATCAACAGACTAGTAAAAGACAATTTGTGACATAAAGAATTCAGAAGCTACTCTTGCTAGGTACAGGCTACAGGCTACAGGCTACAGGTAGCTAGCTAGCTAGCTACAGCCAACAACTGAGATGAGATAGATGACTGGAGTTCTTCGATCATTGGAAGTTTCATGAAAAGATGCCATTATTTGTCCGAAAGAAACTGCACAACCACCCACTAGCTAGTTACGGTTACGGCGTACATGCACCCACTACGAGTACACTTTGCCCGTTCTTCAACGGAATGTTTTCAGTGGTGGGGATTGCCATGGAGCGGCGAAGTGATCAGTCCAAACAACCTCACACCGGTAGACGATACCGACAAGAGGTGTCGGTATCAAGACTAAAATCGTACCACTGGCTGCAGTTAGCCTTAAATCCTAGAGTAGCCAGGCAACAACTGAGATGACGGACGGAGTTTTCCACTGAATCATTGGATCTGGTCGCCTTGCATGTGGATGGAAGATGGAAGAGCTGATGGAAGATAGATCTAAGCTTCAGATGAATCAGGTTTGCCTCGTTTCCCAGGCCGGCTTGAGTCCGCAGGGACCTTCTCGAGATCCTCTATTTCGGCTTGATGTTTTTCTTTCAGACAATCCTCCACTACACTCCAAATACCTGCCAATTCGTACTTCTCCTGGTACATATTCAAAGTGTTGTGAAATAGCGTTTGGGTTGTAGGCTTGAGCTCAGCCAGACGAAATAGTTTGCTGAGCTTACGTTTGAAGGAGCGGAAACGAAAGGAGAGCCGTCAGACACCAACTATTCGCACTGGCAGCACTCACGAACTGCACACCTTTTTCCAGGCGTAAAGCGTGGGTCACTACCGCACCTTCCATACGGTAGGCTCCACACCTTCCATAGCTGACGACATTCTTAAGAGTTTTTCTGGGGTTTTATGTTTAGAATATGAGGTAGTAGCAGTTCGATTTCAATTTGAGTAGTCCATGAAAGCACGCAGTACTTGTATTTCGTGGGTGCATTTCAATGGGCACGCTGCATATCCCATGAAAGTACAAACACCTACGTCGCAAGGCCATCTGTTTGTCGTTCATTGTGGGACTCTTCCATCCTCAAAAATATCTTAGACACAGGAATCCGATATGTTCCCAAAGCCATGCTTGGAACCCAGTGATCCCCAAATCTTGTGGTCCAATCTCAATGTAGCTTTCTTCGTCACCTGGCGTGTAGCTCCATGTACGCGCACGATCATTAGATGCGTCGTAAGCATCGGCCAATGTCGTGTTCGATTCCAGGCGATAAATATCTAGCCCCTCCATGTCTTGGATGTACTCGCCTTTCACTTTGATCAGGTATCCCAATCTTGGAAGCGAATTATTGCGTGTACCGTGATCTTTCTCCAAGCTCTTCGGCATCATATCATCAATGGCTTTTTCTTCGTACCACTTTTTGTTTTTCCAAGAAAATTGGACCACCACGTCCGGCACGGATCCAAAATAAAAAATCAGTGGGCACCAAATCTCCGTCTTCTTTGACGCATCAAGGATAACCCCAGTAACTGATGTCAGGGCCCCGCGACTTGTTTGCTGGCATGTGAATTTTGTGGGTTCCAGTGCACATGCCCCATGAGTTTTTGCTCTACCGAAAAAAGTTTTGTACATACTTGGTTGTGAATTTGTTGTGCTGGTCCGACGGCATTTTCAAGAGAGCACGTCCACCCACCAAAATAATCGGAAGATCTGCAAGGCCAGCTACGACAAGAGCGTCTTGCAACTCTTGTTCTGTTGTGTACTCACACTTCCCGCGAAGGGATGGCATCAACTCGTCTGGAAGCTCCACGAGCTCCTGATCCAGGAGCTGACCGTCTTCGTCGTGTTCGTCGTCTTCCTTTGCCAATGTCATCGTCAACGTGCAGATCCATCTAAAGCAATTCTAGTGTGAATGTGTAGCACTTCTTGCTCCTCCCTTCGACAGGAGCAAACGTTTGGAGTCCAAAGTAGCAGTGTTGTGGTGCTCTTCCTCCTCTAAAACGCGGATCAAACGCAGATCGCCAATCAAGTCGTGTCCATTGCACGGTGGACAAGTACAGTAAGTCGACAGTTTCGAACCTCGAATATATGATTCATGAACAAATGGTCCTGATGTTAAATCTTGATAAACCGTTTGTTTACTTTAAACAGGACAGTTTCTCCGCAAGGAAAATTTTACATCGATTTTGCAAATAATCAATTCTTGAATTCAAATCCTTCTTCGAAGGCAACAGACACATTCGTATCCGGTTACACCTCACCCTCAGTACCAGTAGCAGACAGGCTCTTCATCCTTCTGTGTCCATTGCTAGCTAGCTACCAGCCGTCTAGAGTACAGCTTTAGTAGAGCAGTACTAGCTCTAGCTAGTAGAGCAGGAGGGGGGCAAATTCTAGCCTCTGGAGTGGGGTTGAAAATAAATCTTCAGTACCGTATCTCTCGGCGAATGAAATCGGTGTTTGGTCCTGAAACCTTGGGCATCTAATCTCGGCAAACTATTGATTTATTTGATAGTACAGTCGTACTAGCTAGCTAGTACCGGTACCTGGCAGCCCGGCAGTCGGCTACTCAGTAGGAGTTTTTGCCAAGCATAGCTGAAGTAATAAGACTAAGTAAGTGTCCACCGTCCAGGATCTAGGATTCCTGCTCGGCCCACGGATTATGAGTTATGATTACAATGTCATCTACTAGCTATCTAGCAAGCTCTTGTTCCAAGTTTCTGAGCTGGCTGATATAAATTTCATGTTTACCATGCCAATCCAAGAGCCACAATGAACCCTCACTGGAACCTGGATCGGGTTCGACAACAACAATGAGGCTCCCTGACGTGGAATCGACTACGAGCTAGTGGGGCCGCTGGAGCACTTGAGCACTAGAGAAACCAAAGCCATACTATTAGGTCTCGTACCCACTGATTTGTGTTGTGATGTTGAGTTCTACTAGTACTCGAGTACAGTGTGCTCTGGAGTAGTGACTTTGTGTAGCTCTGTGGATGTGAAGAGTGAAGAGGCTTGCTGTTGTTAAAAATTTAATACGCCGGAGTAGAAGGCAAGAGCAAGGGAAACAGGTGCAGTGTAATTCAAGTGGCGATCCAAAAAAGTCGGCATCTCTTCCCACTCTAAACAGGTGTGACACGGCAATCGAAAAAACAGGATGTAGCCAAGCAATGTCTGTAGTTTTACGTTCACTCCACCCATGAATGAAGACATCACGACAAGAACCCCATAATTGGGATCTCTACGTTGACAGTCATACACAGCTCAAAGACTCGTCATTATGTCAATGCTCTCGCATGGAGCCCAAGATATTAAGTAAAATGCAGGCCTCCGTTCTCAGAAGCTTGAGCTGCGCGGTTCATGTGACTGCACGGGCATACAGTAGAAATATGAAGTGAGTCGCGGAATTCTATAGCTATATGTTAGCCTTATGTTTAAGAATGTCTTTTAACTAATTAGTAATGATTAAATATAGAATCTTGATTCCAAGGGTAACTTATTTTCCGCAATGAGGCCAATACGCTTTTTACGAATCCATTCTCCGAGAGTAAAGTTTCCTTAATGCTGATTCTCTGACTTAAGTTTTCCCTGCCAAGTAAGTGCATCTGTTGTTTAAATACGAATGACCCAGTTGGTATTTTCTCCCTTTTAATGAGAGGTTTTTAAGGCTGCAATGGCGAAGCAGAAGAATCGGGGAGGAGGCTTTTGGACATTGTAAGTGACCTGCTTAAGCTTCCGGTACTGGTATTCCGAGCTGTACTGCCACACTCGGAGTTCGGTTTCAGCAAAATACGTGCGCGCGTACCACTCAGAGGCCTCAATGGTTTCTTTTGAAGAGCAATGAATTGAATCAAATGGTCCAGAGAATTCGGAGAATGTTAGTGGAGCTTTTTAATTTTATCATCTGGGCCTGAGACTTCCGTTCGGAAAAACTTTTTGTCTCATGCACCGTCAGTACCACTCTGAATCCTAATGGTATGAGGGGGTGGACTCGAGCGGAGAAGCTGCGCTTCTCCTTTTTTTGATTTTGATTGCTCCCATCCTCTTGGGATGTGCTCACAAATCTCAAAGAGCAATCCACTACAAGCGAAACTACACAGTTCAGCACACTCCAGCTAAAACAGTGAATACCACCATGACTTCCACCAACAGTAACAACGGCAACGGCAACAGCATGTCCATGAGGTACATCCTCCCCGAAGACTTCACCCCATCCCCTGACGATGTCGTGATTGGTCGCGGTAAGAAGATTGTCGAACGCAACAAGCGCTTCTGGGCCATTATCAAAACTGAAGGTGATGCCTACGGTAATGCCACCAGCAAGGCAGTCAAGAGCGCCATCTTGGCCCGTGTCCATAACCTTGTCAAAGATGTCCGCAAGGGTAGCTTTGTCAAGTTGGATCCTGAATCGGGACGATGGTATAATGTCGAAGAGAGCCTGGCTCGTACCACTATTGCTCAGGTAAGCTAACTTAAGCTAAGCTAGCTTAGCAAGACTGCTCAGACGACAATGAATGACCATGATACTCACGCTTACCTCTCTTATCTATCCTCCTCACTTCAGGCTCTTCGAGATGTCAATAACAAAATCTACACCTCCAGCAAGCAATTCAAGCAGCGCAGGCGCAAGCAAACCAAGATGGCTCCTCTGGTTCATGACAACGATTCCAAGGCTTCTTCTCCTCCAGCCACCATGTCCGTGATGACTGCCATGGGCTGTGCCAACAACTACCTTCAGAAGAAGCAGCAGGTCTCTTCGTTGTTTCAGTTGTCTCCTCAGGCACTCAGTGACATTGGATGCAACGTCGATGCGCAACGAGGCTCCTTCAACCGCCTGCAACACATTCTGGATGACGCTGCCAACACGGTCAACTTTAGTAGTGTCCCGCCCATGGAAGCCTATGGTGAAAACATGCCTGCTCCCCAATTGTCCATGGACAGTCAAGCCTTCTTGACCCCACTGTTGGACACTCCCCTCTGGGACGAGGTGCTGCAATGCAGCGGGAATCCTTTTGAACCAACTCCATTGGCAGAGCCCACACCAATCAAGCAAGAAGAACAAGAGGATGACTTGGATGTCTTGGAAGACTTTGACGTATCTGATATCCAGCATGCGTTGTTGGGCAGTGCCTACTAAGCTGGTTGCCTGCTTTCTGCCTCCCTTGCTGCCCAAGACACCATACAGCCAAACGGCTGTCCTTGTCCAGGCAAGCCTGTACATATCAAATCTCCTCTCAGCATCCAATCAAGGTGCAATGTACATCTCCTATCTCCGACTTCCTCTCAAAGCTGCCCGCTTTTGCCACCCTGGTCCCCAAAAGCGCAGCACCTGCATAAACTAGTACTACATTCTTCTAGCAACTTTAAAACATACTAATAAAAACCTACACAGTGTTTACTTTTCTCGACTACCAAAACTCCACAGTAGCCACAAGTAGCTACATGTATGTATGTAATCAAAACAGTTACTAGACTATCTAGCCCTACAAACTCAGCACTCCTACTCATGTACCGTACACACAGCAGGCATACAGTGCGAGGCCGGGTTTGGCAGGTGCAGTCATAGCTAACTCGATGCTGGCATTTCAACTTTCGCTCAATTAAAAAAGGCTACCGCTGAGCAGAGGGAGTGAATGCCTCCGCGCGTTGCTTTGCATCTTTGCATGCAGCTTGGCTTGAAGGTCATATTGCTATATTGCTTGCTTACGACAGGAGGCAGAAGTGAAGGGGTTCGCACGAGAGAGGAGTACATCCTCTCGTGCTTACCGGTTAGCTAACTCCGAGCAACAAAGCTTGGAGACAATGTCATGACATTGTACATGGTACATGTACACATACATGTACCTACAAGGAGGGGTATCAAGGAGCAATGCTTTTACGGTGCCTATCTCCCTTTGCAAATCCCAGACCAGCTAGCTGACCAGCTTCTAAAGGCCGTTGCGACGTTCAGCTTAGACACTGTTTGAAGAAACGTCGGCTGATACCCAGCCACGACTCTCTGTCTACGGCTCTCTCTGTCTCTCCCTCTCTGGCTCCGTGGACCACTCATACGCTGTAGCTTCTAGCTAGCTAGGACTAGACTAGATCTATCTATCTCTCCTTGGATCGCTTGCGATGCGAAGACAAGAGAAAAAGAAGTTGGCTCGACCAGCTGCTCGACCACGGTATTGGCTGCCAATGCATAAGACTTCGATCGGTACAGTGGATTCCAGCGTCCGTACCCCGGGAAGTCAAGCTCTTCTGGCTCAAACATGTCCTGTAGCCACTGACGATGAGCTGGAGACTTCTGGAGTAACCGGTCGTGGTTGCCAACCGCCAATTCAGTTCTTGAATTCGTGAATTCGTGAAGCCATCCGCACTAGGTGGATCGTAGCTGGATCAAATAAACACCAAGGAGTTGCTTTCTCCTGCTCTAATTTCCAAACACAGCATGTCCGAACTGCATTGCACGGCTCCATGTGAGCGCTCTGGCATTGGATAGCCTCAAATAAATAGCTACTGTGAGCTCTGAGTGAGTGGAGTCAAGTCCACAGAAGATGCGAGAACGAGTTCCTTCTCGGCAGAACAGTGGGGATGTGTGAATGGGCGAATCGAGAATATCGAATGGATTGAATCATAGCTTCACAGCTGCTTGGCAAAGCCAAATGAATTAGCTATGAATCTCAATCGAAAGGCATTGATCTAGTGGGCCCCCGCGCCTTCTTCACGATGTTGAAGGTGCGACCAAATCGTTGCATTGACATATGGGGTGACCTCCAAGCTTGAACTGGCGGCAAATGGGAGTTAATCACTCTGAACGGTTTTGACACTTTAGCACAACTTGGTTCGCCTCTTCAAAGGCTCTTCAAACCATCAATTAATGTTGCAGGTTCGCTCTATTGTCACACCTTCCCTCTGGAGAATGCAAGGAACAGCCAATATTTATTGAACCATGACACCACTTCAAACCCGCAGGCGAAAGATGATGAACACATCTACCCAGTTCAATCATCATCTGTCTATCTATGAGCTATCTATGCTACGTCGAGCGTACGTACATGAACAACTCTGTACCGTACTGCAGCTGGTCTGCAACGTGGTTTCACGGTGAATGCGAAGTCAATTTGATAATCCTTTATATCCCAATGTGAAGAATTCTTGGCATATCAAGTATCGCAATCAATTAATGGAGGGCGACCTAGACATTGTCCTTGCATTCGCCGTTTGATCTGTTTGCGAAGCCCACTTAGGAGCTTCATGAAGCAGATTGTTCATAGTCATTAGTACGGGGGGCGGACAAACTCTCGGGCCTTAAAAACTGTGGAGGTACCAGGTACGAGCATCGTCGGAAAGCTCACAAATCGTTTTTGCAAAACCTGAAACACACCCTACTTTTCCTCACTACCAGTACTTCTATCTCCAATTCCCAAACAGTCAATATGGTATTCAGCGACAGTATCAACCTTCCTGACAGCTTCGTTCCTCCCCAGAACGTGGCTGTGCTGGGCCGTGGTAAGAGATACTTGAAGCACCCAGGCAACCGGCGTCTTCGAGAGTTGGTTCAGTCTGAGATCCCAAACTACCTTTCTTCCCCAAACAGAAAGGACAAGTCAGGTATCATCTTGCGGGTCATTGAGATCATGCGAAAAGGAACTGCGGGCCAAGTCGGCTTTGTCAGGTATGATACTATATCTGGCAAGTGGTTTCTCGTCGACGACGGGACTGCGCGTGTGAGTGTTGCCCAGATCTTCCGGGATGCCCTCAGCAAGCACTACCGCTCCAGCAGGCAGCACAAGCAAAAGAAGCGTCAAGCCATCAAGGAACAAAAGTCCATGTCGCCTCCTTCTCCTTCCACAGGACCTGCCAATGACCATCAAGCCAAGGAATGCACGGCCGTAACGACCAAAGGATCGATGTCCCAAAGCATGTCTCTATCCTCCCTCATCTTCCAGACCCCTGGTGTATCCAGCACCGCTGGTATGTCCAAAATGCCTGGAAGGTGCACACAAGTGCTGCAGAAGGCCCTGCGTGATTCACGAGAACTGTTGAGCACAGTCGAAGATAGCACCGAGAATCAAGCAGTCTTTGACTCTCTCTTCGACGCCTTTGCTGATTCCGTCAACACGGATTCCAACCCGTACGAACCCACACCCATCGCAAGCCAAGTCATCCCACAGCAGCAACCAAGACAATCGAGTTTCCATTTTGGTGACGTCTTTCAAGCAAACATCCTCGTCTAGAGGGAAGATAGGTTCTTAGGGTCTCGTGACGCAAAGATGCGAATGTAGAATAGCATCGCTTACTTATTATTTATTAGTATTATTTAAACTCCAAGATTCCTATTTGGCTACTAGCTTATCGAATTCATCCACCAGAAACTCTGTGTAGGGTACGCAGTCTACATCTCATCTCCCGTTTCTTCTCGAACTCGAATGCCAAATTAATCCCGTACTACACGGGTGCCAAGATTTGAGAGGGTTCGCAACCTTTTGTCAGGACGGATGCCAGCTAGCAGCCATCCGTAGAGCACCTTTCGCTGCTATCCAGATAAACTCTGGATGATCGAGTTACCGGACTCGAGCGCGAAGACTTCCTGCTTCCTGCGAGGATCGTGGCTGATGCATCATTCTAGATACTCGAGTCATCGACGTTTCGACGTCTTATACTGCGACTGGAGGCTGTCAACTAGGATGCTATGAATCTTTCCATCCATTTGAATGATAGTGCTCCCAAGTGATGATTTGTACCAAAGCTCGCCCATCCAATGCCCTCGCCAAGGTTACTCTGCCATGAGTACGCTTCTGAGCTGAGGCATCCCCCAAAATGACAAACCAATGTCCCCGTTTCATCTTCTATTCCCCTTAGCTTGACCCAGCCAGTGCTGGCTGAATAAACTGGCAATTGAATCCAACCAATAACCTCGGCAGGTAAACTGCCTGAGTTCTCAACCCCTTTACCTCGGCAGGTAAACTGCCTGAGTTCTCAACCCCTTTAATGCTATTTCCTATTTCCTATTTTCTATTTCCTATTTCCTATTTCCTATTTTCTATTTGGTCTCCCAGACCACGCTCCTTTTGGTTACCCCCTCAGTTGCACTCTGAAATCGATTGGCTCGCGTTTACTGTGTAAATTAGTGTACCCGCACTTCAGTTGCAGAATCAACGGTCATGTGTATCGTTAAGTAACAAGTTCCCTTTCGAAATTTTTAGATTGATTCGTGGATGAAGTTGCTAAGGTTAAGGATAAACCGATCGTCCCTCAGTCCACGTCGAGCGAAAGTCCATTATTGAAGGCGCAGCACTGACTTCTCTCCCTCATTGAATTCGTATGGTAAACAGGAGGTAAATCCAAGCTTGGCCGACAACAATGCATGGTGAGTGCTTTATCCAATCGGCCGATCGAATCGAATCGATTCGAGGTAAGCCTATTATCAAGAGTGTTAATTGAAGGTACAGCGCTGACTTCTTTCCCTCATTGGATTTCTATGGTATTCAGGAGGGAAATCCGAGCTCGGCCGTCAACGGGTGAGTTGTTTTAGTTATTCGAATCGATCGATCGTACCGGTACCTCTGCTATCAAGCCCAATTCAAGCCAACTGTCTCCGGTGCAGATTGGAAAGCCATCCCCATTGAAATTGTACCAGTTTGGGTTGGCAGTCAGTTCTCGGCCCATGACGGCCAAGTTGGTGCAATTTGAAAAGCAAGGGTAAGTCACCGGTTTTCTTCAGTTGAGCACAGACAACAAAACTCATATCTATTTGTTGTTTTCTCTGCTGTACTGCTGACGGCCGAGGAAATCCCATTGTCGAGTCCTTTTCGAACGATCGGTTAACAAGCTACCGCTACGGAGAAGACTGTTAACTCCAGCCCTATCAACAGCATGAACGATCGTCGTCGAGTCATTGAAAGGCAACAGCCACCGGAAGAGGCAACAACACACAAGAGAGTGGATCCTCCTACCGGATTCATCCCTTCTTGTTATTTCCTACTGTTTTGGTGGTGATTCCTGTGTCGGTACCCATTTTCCTGTATGCGCAAGTCAAGTACTGTTGCCACTGTCGTCGATGTAGCTATACCGCAGCCGGCTACAACATGGCTGGATTCATAATGTTCGGTTGTGCATGTATTCGTCATAAGGATCCAATGCAAGATACCGGCAACGGAGTGTAGCCAGCAAAGCGGAACCTAAGTGTGTTCGTTACTGTTGCCACTGTCACCGATCGATGAACTCTACGATAGCTGGCTACGATGGCTGGGTTGACAATGTTCGGTTGTGCATGTATTCGTCATAAGGATTCAATGCAAGGTACTGGTAACGGAGTGTAGCCAGTAAAACGGAACCTGAGTGTGTTCAATACTGTTGCCACTGTCACCGATTGATGTAACTCGACGGTAACTGGCTACAATGGCTGGATTGACAATATTCTGTTGTGCATGTATTCGTCAAAAGGATCCAATGCGAGGTACCGGTAACCGTAGCGAGCAAAGCCAAACTTTCGGTACTGTTGCCACTGTCGTTGATATAGCTACATCTAAGAAGCGCATTTTGGGCAAAGTGGATATTATGGGGAAGGTGCACAAAACGCTGGATCAAATTTTAGCGACTCATTTATGTAGGTCCCTTATCATGTCGAAGGGCATTATTTTACCCACAAACGCCAAATCATGTACTCGTTCACAGCTCATATTGCCCAAATGAACAAACATAATGTCCCTGCGAGTCCGTCATATTTTTGTGGAAGTGCGTCGAAAAAGTGTGCTCCGTACAGAGATCTGGCGTACGCCCCTTTATGCCAGTGCGTGATATTTGGCGCAAATGCCTCCAAAAAGTGGGCTTGGGTAAGTGATAGGACGGCACGTAGCTTGCCGGAGTCCCCGGACATTTTGCGCAAGTGCATACAAATATGAGCACAAGCCGCAAAGGGACATCACAGAATTTTACCCAATTGCGCTGAAATTGCATGCAAGACGCCAAAGATCCCGTGCACAAGCACGACACAACCATACCTACATTAATCCGTCATTACTTTGCCCAAGTGAACATGACTACGACAACAAATGACAAAGCAGTTTACAACTAGAATAATCGTTAACTTAGTTATTAGCTCAGAGAACAGTACAATTTAGTAGGAGAGGGCAATAGAAAGCAGGGCTGAGCTGAAATGTCTTTGGTTGTTCAGAACAGTTCGCAGAAAGGTCACAGGAACGTGACGCTAAACACTGCAGAAGAAATGACCAATTGGATGAACAGATTTGCCAACTTGCCCAAACCTTTTTCAGAAACCAGGCCAGCAAGATCGATCGAGGCCGAAAATGCCCAAATGGGCCAAACCAAAGATGCTCTCACATGTATGCATCGTCATCTTCATCGTCCAAGGTGGTAACCGTCTTGCCTTTTTAGGCCTGGAGCGGCTCCAAGGCGTTCTTGGCTCTGCGCTTTTTGGCCTTGTTGAGTTTCAGCTGTTGCTTGTGGGAGCAACAGGTGTGCCCATTTGAAATGCGCAAAAGCCTCCAGAGTCTTCTGCTCCAGACTGATAATGCTGCCGCGTGTGGGCACTGGAATGGGCCTCTTTCACTTTTTCTTTTATTGGTTGTAGGCTTCCAAACCATCAGCTTTCCCAAGCAGTATGCTCGCTTGGCCAGCATCAACATTGGTGTACTTCCCTCCTTTGATGGGTTGGGCCTCACCTGGTGCTCCTTGACCCATTGGTGCAGCTCGGTCCACTTGGCTTCATTGTTGACCCAAACAACAACAGCCTTGGCCTCATGGTGAGGGGTGAAATGGGCTTGGTTGGGTGCTCGTTTTGGCTTCGCTGATTGTCTTGTAGAACTATAACATTCTTGCCCCACTCAATGTGCTCCGAAGACCTTGGGCAAGAACTCGCTCCAGTACCACATGAAAGGCTCCTTTTCCTCTTCAACCTTGCGCACCAGGGGAAATTGGTATTTAAAAAGTGAGTCAAAAATTTGGGGCATTAGCATAAAACAAATATGGACGTACCTCCAAATCAAATTGGCGACAAGCACACTTGAGGAACATGGCGGTAGTGGGAAGGGCATTGCTCTTATCCATGCGAGCAAAAGAAACCTTCTTCAACTCCTGAGTAAGATAGTTGCGACGGGCATTAATGCCCTTTACCACCGACTTCTTGTA